ACCCTTACATTCTGTGTTTTCCAATAAATCTGTTTAAATCTGTTTAAATCTTGTGGTATTGCGGCTAACTTTTATAGTCCTGGTTTAAGAGGCTCACAGGTCATAGTTTGAACACTCAGCCCATCTCTTCCCTGCTTAGGGATGACTGCTATAACTGCTTCCTGCCAGGAGGGGGTACTGCAGCCTGTCTAGCAGTAGGGTGGTTAAAGATTCTTTAAATACCTTACATCATTCAGCTGTATAACCATCTGGCCCAGGGCTTTTAATTGGTTTTAAGTCCCGAAACAGCTCAGTCCAGTTCTGCAAGCAGGGACTCTGCTTGTCGTCATCATTTAATTATAGTTGAGTGTTTTTGTAATATGTTTTTAAAACTCTTGCTGATGTCATCCATGTCGTAATTTATCTCTTAGACTTTAGGGTCAAAAAAATCGTCCCACATAAGACGATTTGCAGGCATCTCGAGAGAATGGGGGGAGACCTCACCATTCTCATTTTCATCTTACACTATTTCCTACCTCATCTGTTTCTTTATCTTCCCATTTAGTATGGACGAGTTTAGTTCTCCAAGATGTGTTCCTCCTTTTTTAAGTCTAAAATTATTTCCATCTGAACTGGAGAGTGGTCTGAAATCCATTACTCCTATGTTGCATGATTTAACTGTGGGAAGATCCTTGTGTAACATCACAAAATAGTCTATCCAAGAAAAAAAAAGGTAAATCTTTTGTTGAGAGGTGGAATTCCCTCCAACAGCAATTAAATTTGGGTCCTACATTACACTGTTAATTTTCCTACTCTGAGAGCTGAACCCCTGTAGTCTAACTTGGGGTTCAATCTAACAAATCTCCTCCACAGTTCATAAAGCTTCAGAATTGCTATTATCCTTGAAGCTGAGAAGGACTCATTCTTTTAAACAAGCATGACCTGGTTCTGAGAGGTGGATATCTTGAAATAGAAGGATTCCAACCTTTTCCCTTTTTAAAATTTATTCAGTATTTTACTCCTCTTAATAGGACTGAGAATACTATTCACGTTGACTAATCTAACCTTTTTAATGATCCTGTAGAAGTTGTGGTGGCTTGACAACTCTGAGAAAGTCTTTCCTCTCCTGCTAGTGGAAGTGGGCCCTCCGTAGAAGTAAGCTTTGGTACATAGTAAATTTAACCCCCCCACTTAACCCCTATTTGCTCCATAAACGTGTGACCTCTGACATTTATAGCAATTATAAGTTGCTTTAGAAACAGTCAGGTCCATAAATATTGGGACGACACAATTCTAATCTTTTTGGCTCTAAACACCACCACAATTTGATTTGAAATTAAACGAACAAGATGTGCTTTAACCGCAGACTTTCAGCTTTAAGGAATTACAACATTCCACTTTTTTCCCTTAAAAAACTCTTTGGTTGCTTTCGCAGTATGCTTCAGATCATTGTCCATCTGCACTGTGAAGTGCCGTCCAATGAGTTCTGAAGTATTTGGCTGAATATGAGCAGATGATATTGCCCGAAACGCTTCAGATTTCATCCTGCTGCTTTTGTCAGCAGTCACATCATCATAAATACACAGAGAACCAGTTCCATTGGCAGCCATGCCCACATGCCCACGCCACGACACTACCACCACCATGCTTCACTGATGAGGTGGTATGCTTTGGATCATGAGCAGTTCCTTCCTTCTCTCATACTCTTCTCTTCCCATCACTCTGGTACAAGTTGATCTTTGTCTCATCTGTCCATAGGATGTTGTTCCAGAACTGTGAAGGCTTTTTTAGATGTCTAATCTGGCCTTCCTGTTTTTGTGGCTCACCAATGGTTTACATCTTGTGGTTAACCCTCTGTATTCACTCTGGTGAAGTCTTCTCTTGATTGTTGACTTTGACAAACATACACCTGCCTTGATCTGGCCAACTGTTTGAAGGGTGTTTTCGTCACCAGGGAAAGAATTCTTCGGACATCCACCACAGTTGTTTTCCGTGGTCTTCTGGTCTTTTGGTGTTGATGAGCTCACCGGTGCGTTCTTTCTTTTTAAGAATGTTCCAAACAGTTGATTTGGCCACACCTAATGTTTTTGCTGTCTCTCTGATGGGTTCGTTTTGATTTTTCAGCCTAATGATGGCTTGCTTCACTGATAGTGACAGCTCTTTGGATCTCATATTGAGAGTTGATAGCAACAGATTCCAAATGCAAATAGCACACTTGAAATGAACTCTAGACCTTTTATCTGCTCCTTGTAAATGGGATAATGAGGGAATAACACACACCTGGCCATGGAACAGCTAAGCAGCCAATTGTCCCGTTACTTTTGGTCCCTAAAAAAAGTGGGAGGCACATATACAAACTGTTGTAATTCCTTCAACTGATTTGGATGTAAATACCCTCAAATTAAAGCTGAAAGTCTGCAGTTAAAGCACATCTTATTCGTTTCATTTCAACTCCATTGTGGTGGTATAGAGCCAAAAGATTAGAATTGTGTCGATGTCCCAATATTTATGGACCTGACTGTAAGCGTCAGGTAAATGAGTAAATGTAATGTAAAGGTTAGGCCTACGTCTAAAGCTAGTAAGCAACCCTGGATAAATGACAGCATTCGCAGCCTAAAAAGGGAATGCAGGAAAGCAGAGCGCAGATGGAAAAAATCCAGTCTCCAAGTCCATTACCTCAGTCTGAAGGATTTATTAATTAACTACAATAACATGGTTAAGGATGCAAGAACACACTATTTTTCCGAACTCATTACTACACATAAACACAACCCCCGGTTTCTGTTTAAGACTGTGGATCAGCTGGTAAACCCAACCCCTCCTTGTGCCTCAGCTGGAAGTAATGATGACTGTGAATTGTTTTTATCTTATTTTACCAGTAAGGTGGTGTCAATCAGAGCCTCTATTACCCCCACGGCCTCTTACTCAGAGGTTCCTCATCAGCAACAAGAGAGTTTTAACCAGTTTAAGTTGGCTAATAGGGAGAATCTTCAATGAATGTGAATAAAATAAATATTCTTTCATTGCTTAATCAATTTATTCATTTTATGCAGTATATCCAGGTCAAGGTAATTATGCAATTAAACAATTACAGCTAGGGTAGGTAATGTTGGAGAAAGTAGTAAGAAAGAGCTAGTTTTTGAAAGTATCTACTGAAAAAAATCCCACCCCTCCTTAAGGCCTCCCTACAAAGCCATTCCCCCAAAGCATATTTAACACACAGTGAGTGCACTATTTCACAATTGTCCAGTATAATCGTGAAATAGGTGTTAAATACAATTCTCTGTGGTATTATAACATTCTTTTAAAGTCTTAAATTTAACTGGATGAACCCATAGAAACCCTGTAAAAGCACATGCGGCAAATAACAATTCTGTAAATTTTCCAAATTGAGATTAGAAGGAAAATACAGGTAGATATTTAATATTTATTAAATAAACTGATTTCCAACTGAATCATATCAATGTCATGGATTTGCACTTACTCAGAGGAATATAAGGAAATTTAATGCTTTGCTTTTGATATAATTTTTCCTACTCCATTACCACTACGCTAGAACTTGTTTCACTTGTTGTCATAACTTGTCACACTGGTGGAACTACTTTCAACATTCACATAGGTTGAATGAACCAACAACAAAAGAAGGGAGTATTACTTAGCTTTGTACGTCACTGAAGATTCGTCAGCTATGAGTCATGTCATTAGCCTTTATTCTGTTCAAATATATAAAGGCCTCAGTAGATTAGGACGGTCACATAAGGTGAAAGGTTTGCACTAAGACAATAAGATTTTCATCTTTTCATTTTGGGTAAGTACATTTTTAAGTGTGTACTTTTGTAAATGTATACATTGTGTGTGTGTGTGTTGGCAAGAAATGTTACTGCATTTAAAAAGCAAGACATTTTTTATTTTTAGATATATTTTTACCTCTTTTTCCACCCTTACTTTTGACAGCATTGTGAAAAAGCTTTGTTTTAGGTAAAAACCAGCATCCTATTATTAAATGCAGATAAAAGGATTATAACAATTTATAAATTGTATGAGTTCTTGTAGGCATCTATTTTTGTTTTTTCCCATGTTTTTTTATTTTTGCATTGGCTTAAGGAGACTCAGTGTTGTCAGAGGAAATACGCTTTTTCCCACTCTCTCCAACTGACTTGGAAATCTATAGTTTTATGGAATGTAGGTTTCATGAATGCATTGGACATCCATATTTTCTCAATTTTCATCTACTATATTATGATTATTATGATTATTGTATATTGTCATATTTATATATTAATGAAAACACTACTATATACTACAGAATTTTACAGGAGTAAAATTGCATTTTATCACAGCTGTTTAAAATATATATAGTTCGGCATACAGATTCTTTTGAGGGGAAGACGTACTGTATTATATGTCATTTGCATAAAATCCTTTGGCTTCAGATTTTCCATGTACCATGAGTTGTAAACTCTAAAATTGCTCCTATAATAATAATAATAATAATAATAATAATAATAATAATAATAATAATAATAATAATAATAATAATAATAATAATAATAATCCTTATTTGTAGAGCACTTTTCAAAAACAAGTTACAAAGTGCTTTAACAAGTGTAAAGAATAATACAAAAAAAGATAAGAGCATGAAAATTTAATATAAAATTAGTAAAAAACAATAAAATAAAAGGGATAAAATAAAGTCAAATAAGATCGGGAAAAGCTCTCCTATAAAAGTATGTTTTTAAGAAGGGACTTAAAAGAGTTCAATGACTCAGCCGACCTGGTTTCCTCGGGCAGGCTGTTCCAGAGCCTCGGGGCCCTGACAGCAAACGCTCTGTCCCCTTTAGTTTTCAGTCGAGACTCTGGAACAGACAACAGACCTCTGCCCGAGGATCTCAAGGTACGTGCTGGTGCATATGGGACTAAAAGGTCAGAAATATAACAAGGCGAGAGGCCATGAAGAGCTTTAAAAGTGATCAATAGAATTTTAAAGTCAATTCTAAAACATACTGGGAGCCAGTGTAATGAAGCTAAAATAGGAGTAATGTGGTCATATTTCTTTGTTCTGGTTAAAAGCCTGGCAGCTGAGTTCTGGACAGTCTGGAGTCGATCAATAGATTTTTGGGTTAAACAGGTGAAAAGGCTGTTGCAATAATCCAGGCGTGATGAGACGAAGGCGTGTAAAATGGTCTCGGTGTCCTTAAAAGTTAACATAGGTCGAATTTTTGCTATATTTCTAAGTTGATAAAAACATGATTGAACAAGCTTTGTGGTGTGCTGCTCGAAATTTAAATTACTATCAAACCAAACACCAAGGTTCTTTGCCACAGGCTTAATGTGATTTACTATGGAACCAGCAGATGGCAGTATTTGATTTGCCATCTGCTGAGACCCGATGACCAGGATTTCTGTTTTGTCTGAGTTTAGCTGGAGGAAATTACTTGACATCCATTTTTTAACTTCACAAAGGCAGTTGTTAAGTTAACTCAGCATTCCAGGGTCTGTGGATCTGACGGGCAAGTATATTTGTGTGTCATCAGCATAAATATGAAAAAAAATGCCATGTTTATGGATAATATGTCCAAGGGGAAGCAGATACAAGGAAAACAAAATGGGTCCTAAGACCGACCCCTGAGGCACACCATATTTAACTGGACAGAACAAAGAGACATAGTTGTTTACAGACACGCAAAACTTCCTATTTGACAGGTAGGATGAAAACCATTCTAGAGCAGTACCAGAGCCTCAGTCTGTCTAACATGATGTTGTGATCAATGGTGTCAAAAGCAGCGCTAAGGTCCAGGAGTACAAGGACTGAGCACATGCCTTCATCAGCAGACATTAAAAGGTCATTGGTGACTTTAAGCAGGGCAGTCTCAGTGCTGTGGTACTTCCTAAAACCAGACTGAAACTTTTCAAATATTTTGTTATTTTCCAGCACAGTGAGCAGCTGTTTGGACACAATTCTTTCTAGAATCTTTGCAATAAAAGGCAGTTTTGAAATTGGTCTAAAATTCTGTGGGAGGGAGGGATCTAAACCAGGTTTCTTTAAAAGTGGGTTCACGCAAGCCATTTTAAAATAATCAGGGACACAACCAGTAGATAGGGAGCTGTTGAAAACAGAGATCAAATGGGGGCCAACAGAATACATTACTTTCAGTAAAAATTTTGTAGGTATTACATCAAGTGGGCTGGAGGACACTCTCATTTGTGATACTGTTTTTAAAAGCTCTGACAAGTCGATTGGATAAAACTGGTTAAAACTCTCTTGTTGCTGGTGAGGAACCTCTGAGTAAGAGGCAGTGGGGGTAATAGAGGCTCTGATTGACACCACCTTATTGGTAAAATAAGATAAAAACAATTCACAGTCATGATTACGTCCAGCTGAGGCACAAGGAGGGGTTGGGTTTACCAGCTGATCCACAGTCTTAAACAGAAACCTGGGATTGTGTTTGTGTGTAGTAATGAGTTCAGAAAAATAGTGTGTTCTTGCATCCTTAACCAAGTTATTGTAGTTAATTAATAAATCCTTCAGACTGAGGTAATGGACTTGGAGACTGGATTTTTCCATCTGCGCTCTGCTTTCCTGCATTCCCTTTTTAGCCTGCGAATGCTGTCATTTACCCAGGGTTGCTTACTAGCTTTAGACGTAGGCCTAACCTTTAGAGGAGCAGTAATATTTAGTGACGACAAGCAGATATGATTGAAGTGATCGACCAGATTGTTGGTGTTGGAATCAGACAGGTGTTGGCTTTGGCTCTGAAAGAATGCGCAAAACTTTGAAACACTTTGTTCATTAAAGATGCGAGAACAATAATAATAATGCATTCAGCTTTTTAAATAAAATAAAAAAAATAATAAAAATACTATACCATGTCCTCCAACAAATTCTCTGTGCAATTTAAATTGCAATTGGAAAAAAGTACACAGAACAAAGAAATTAATTTTAATTGATTGAATCGAGTGGATGTTGTGCAAAAACATTCGACATGCTGCTTCTGTGAGTAATGTTCCGTATTGTTTAATTTTATAGATTCAAAGGAAGGATGGGTGTCACATGGATAATATCAATTTTGCTGATTCTAACAGGTAAGCTGATGTTTAAAAGATTATAGACCAAAAATATTAGAAAAGGTATAGAGAATGACACAAAGTTAAAGCTACATTTTCTCCTGTACCTCCACCAATATTTCTTATGCAAAGAAAGATAAAAGTATAGTATAATCCTTAGATCATGATCATTTATTAAAGACAAAAGGTAAGCATTTTTTGGTCATCATTTGAGTGAACTGCTAATGTAATATAAAGCAAAAGGTTTGTTGGTGGTAACCTACACTAATTGACCCTGTATACTAATGTAGCACAGCACCTTAAATATTTTGTACTTAAAGTTTAACATATATATTCTTGGTTAAAGAAAAAATATTCTTGGGTTACAAATTATTCTAACTTTTCCTGCTCCGCAACAACAGCGGCCACAACAACACCTGCTCAAACAACTACTACATTAACGACATCAGCAACAACACCTCCTCTGACAACATCATCTGCAACAGCAACATCTTCTCCGACTACACCAACAGCAGAAACAACATCTGCAACATCACCTACTGTGACAACGACATCTGCAGTTACAACACCAACAACAACGACAACGACAGCAACATCTGCAACAACACTTGCTCCGACAACATCATCTGCAACAACATCTGCTCCAACTACAACAACAGCAGTATCAACATCTGCAACAACATCTGCTCCAACTACAACAACAGCAGTATCAACATCTGCAACAACATCTGCTCCGACTACAACAGCAACAGCAGCCACATCTGAAACAACATCTGCTCCGACAACAACAGCAGCAGTAACCACATCTGAAACAGCATCTGCTCCGACAACAGCAGCAACAACATCTGCTCCGACAACAACAGCAGCAACCACATCTGCTCCAACAACAGCAGCAGCAACATCTGAAACATCAGGTCCGACAGCAGCAGCAGCAACATCTGAAACATCTGCTCCGACAACAACAGCAGCAACATCTGAAACATCTCCTCCGACAACAACAGCAGC